TATACTCAACTGATTAACTGAACGATTAATTTTTCGTACTTTTCCAAAGCCACAAACATCAACCAGTACTTTCGATTTGTAAACCTAATTAGAAACTGTGTACTTATCTTATTCCAATGCATCCTCCAAGTTTCACCTTGCCACTCAAAAGCTTATTGTGGTGTAAGCTCTATCCCACTTCTGATTTTAGCAATTTAATAATAAAAACACAGAACCTTTCCGATACACTATAATTCAACACATTTAATCAACTATAAATCACAAATAATTGGTCAGGAAACTTTAATAAACAAAGACAGCATTGAAACGAGCGTGCTGAAGTGTCTCATAACACTGGCGCGACCGACAACGGTCCGTGCTTATCTTCCCAAAAATAAATCAATTTTGTTTATATAATCATATTTCTAATACTATATAGACTATATTCCACAGGAATTATATTGTGTTAATAAACTCTGGCAATTATTGTCCTTCGGGTTATAAGCCATCGGGACAGAAACTTTGCTCTCGGTAATTAACACCCTTATAATTCCCTTGATATACAGGGTGAGTCTTATATAAGTGCAAATATTTTTAGGGCTGGTAGATCTAGATAAAAGAAACATATTTTCTCTTTGGCGTTTTTCAAATAAGTCCAAAATAACCGAGTTATTTTACTTTGAAAATTTACAAAAAAAGTGATTTTTTGATTAAATTTTGAGAACCATTGAATCTTTTCTGGGTTTTCTTTTTTGTAAATTTAATCTACGTTGCCATATATTATGAAGATATTATGTTTTTTGACTAAAAATTAAAAAAACTTCCAAAACTTTTTTCAAAAAATTCCAAATTTTCTCTTTTTTTTCGCGAATCATATTATCTGACAAACGAATCTAAAACAACAAGAGGGATTCGGGCAAAAAAAGTCGATGTTTTCACATTTAATAATAGAAAAACAAAATTGACCGTTATTACCTATAAATTGAATACATTTTGGGGTAGGTTATTTTTGTCAAAATATACTACCCTTAAAAATATTTGCACTTATTTAAGACTCACCCTTTATAAATAACTGTTATATGGAATGAATTTAATTATAACATCCCATTGGAAAACAGTAAACATTAAAAATTATATAAGGTATTTTCAATACATCCTATGTCTAGAATTTGCATGAACGTGCAAGATCTGTGACTGATGTCATTTTTTATTTTTATTTCCATAACGATTTCGCGGTTTTACTTATAGTCTAAAAGCTAACAACGTTTTCGAGAGAGAATTTTAAGGAAGCTGGTTCTTTAATATATTTTTGCTATGCTCTCCTGAACAGAGTGCGGACCGTCTGGCTGTCGGTAGTCGTTACGTTCACTACTGCGCATCATATCTGTATTCACATCAGTTCACTACTGCGCATTACAAATTCGCCCTGTATTTCAGGAACTAAGGAGGCTCGACAACATATGTGTAGCATATTTAGCTTCATAAAAAAGTAAGCTAAGTAATATGAAAATCGCATATATGTATCTCTACTCTGTAAATATGTATCTCTACTCTGTCCCATAAAACACAGGAAAATGGGATACCCTGTACAGATGTGATGCGCATTAGTGAACGGCAGTAGTCTACCGGCAGGCCGGACGGTCCGAACCTTGATTAGGAGAGCATAGCAAAAGACATATTAAAGAACCATCTTTCTTAAAATTCTAGTTTTCCCGACGGTGCTAGCTCTTGTACTATTATATTTTTATTAAGATTAGATTAAATTTGCTAAAAATGTGTCAAAACGTCCGCTATCGTACGATCTTTCTCCGTTGACGGGCTGGAGTAAAAAATTTACGGATGAAAAATGGCGCGACAACGCTATGACCAATCAGAGCGCCGCGCCGACGGACCATCGTATCAACAGATAACAGACGCATGAAAATCAAGCTTTACTCTTAGTAAAACTGTTCAGTTAGCTTTAAACTAAAGCTTTCTAGGTCGAAACTGAATCCATCCACGAACAAAGACTAAAGCATTTCGTTGGTTCGTTTTCCTAACGCATCCCATCGGGAATGTTAATAACTGACTAATTTACAAATGCAATTGCAAAATTATAACCGCTATCTCCCAGTTCCGAGCAGACAGAGAGATCCGACAAAGGTCCATTATCTCCACTAAGGTATAGTAAACAAAAGATCACCATCATATTGAACGCTTTACATTGAGCGCTGGTATTTGTGGGGCTTTGCTAATGAACTTATTCGATGCCATCTGGAATTAGGTTATGTATGGGTGCACGTCGAAATCGTTTTTGCGGAACAAAAGATCCGAACGTGTAGGAACCGCGCATTTGTAATTAAACGAGAAAATTATTTGTTCTAATTCGTGGAACTAGTGTATTATTTTGGTTATATATTAGGGTCGGCAAGGTTTGGGTTTGGTTCGAGATTTCCGTATGTAAAAAGAGTACAATGCATTTATAGGCTTGGTGCATTCTCGACTGGTGCTGCCACCATCGGAGAATATCGTAAACGACGGATCTAAATGACGAGTATACGAAAAAGTTATTATATAATTATTCTAAAACTAATAAAAAGTGTACTTTGTAAAAATTCTAAAAACAAAGATTTCCAGAAGGTCTAACTTGTTTTATAATTTATTATTCAAGCTAATAAAACTGTTTAGATGAGTTCAACTGCGGTAGCTAGCATAGTTTGAGGCACCGATTTTGCTATCGAAGACATAACTTCGGTTATAAGGAATGTTTTTAAAGGTACATAACTATAATTTTAGAAGATGTTCATAAGAAAATTAAGCTCTAGTTGATTAAAACAACTACACCATTAATAATGCAAATTATAATTTATCATCTCATAGTATAGCCTATTTAATTTTTTGATTATGTAATGGGCACTTTGTTTACTCAGTTGTTCGTCGAGCTGCTTCAATCCGTTTTTGCTTTTGATCAAATCGGTGTGAGAAGTTGTGAAGCTATAAAATTTTGTTTCGGGAGAGTTGGATATCCAGGAAAGTTGAATTATTGAGAGTTATTACACGGCAAACAACCACGTAATTACGCCCTTCTTTACGCGTTAACATTTTTTTGACAATTTTACACAGTTTGTTTTTTTTAACTTAATTTTTACTACCCCCTAAATCTGGTACCTGAGTGTTTTATAGTTTCAATAACTGCACTATTATAAACTAAAATACTTAAATATTATGACAAAGCCACGATTTTAATATTATTTCAATACGATTAACATCGGAACTGCGTGAAATACAGACTTAAAACTTCTGATTTCTGCGGTATCGAGCGCTGCAGTCGGTATAAACTGATACACACCAAGCCTATAATGTACTGAACAAAGAGAGAAGAGTAAAAACGTTGCCAAATGTATGAAATAAATCGAGAAACTATACACATTGCTAAGAGACGTGGAAGGGGATATGGCAGGTTCATCACGGTCGACACAGTCACGCCGCGCCGGCGTAATCCGTTTTTTAAATTTTCTGAATGGAAAAAAAGAAGCCTATCAAACTTTTCTCCTTTAAACATCTTCTTAAATATCAAAGATGTTAACACGCGTGGAATTGGTACAAAAAATCGAAACAATGAAAGTTGTTTAAACCAAATTAAATCACACAACCAACTAAATCACATAATTATAGTCTGTGAAACGAATAACTTTGAATTTGACAGTTCCCGCAGGCTTTTCTAGTGTTAATTTTATTAGGTTAGCAACTTGCGGCCATGCTGACGTAATGCCATCTCTAATAGAACAGCCTTGGAGCGAGATTTATGATGTCACGCTAGTTAGATACTACGGATTAATAAATATGTTGTAGAATACATGGAAAACATAATAATTATTCTTCATATTTTAGGTTTGTATTTTAAAAATTATAAAGTTTGCATAAAATATACATAACATACAGTTAATAAATACAATATATATACCTATTTATAGTAATAAATATTTTGCCAAATAAACTATGTGAACCATACAAATACTATATATAAATATGTAAAATATATTTTAAATTGTGGGGTTTGAAAATCAATCTAATTTAACAAAAAACATTCAATATCTACTAATAGTGATGTATTATTATTTGCATTCACAAAATGTATATGTATATTTTGCAAATATCAATGTTCAAAAAATTATATTATCCAATAATACAATATCATAGAAAAAAAGGCGTCAGCGATGGCTATGAAATAAAAATCGCTGTCATTTTATATGTAAAATTATTCTAAAATTTTTCATTTTCTTGAGATTTAGGTTCGGGAAAAACGCTGATTAAGTTTTTATTTGGTTTTTCATTATTTTTTTTGGTTTAAAAAAAACGTTTCGGCTAACATTATAGCCTTCATCAGTGTTCTGTCATATGAAAAAAATAGTGTCGAATATAATCCAAAAAATTGCATTCACAACCTAACCTAACACCACATAGTATTTACTGCAATTAATACATTAATATAAACTTGTCAAAAGATGGCTACATATTTTTTAAAATTATTATTCTTAGCACTAAAACTATCTACATTGACTATGGCTCAAATCGTACTCCATAGCCAATGTAGATAGTTTTAGTGTATAATATTTAATGTTTTCCATGTATTCTACAACATAATAATTAATCCGTAGTATCTAACTAGCTTGACGTCATAAAGCTCGCTCCGAGGCTGTTCTATTAGAGACGGCATTGGTCTGATATTTAGAAATGTCTAAAGCTGATGACATTTTACGGTTGAAAATTATGACATTTCGTGTTGATTTTTGCAAGAAGAGGAAGAACTGTCACTTGTTTTATTATTTTCCTTTTCTATTTCGTGAAAGTAAAAAGAGTTACCTATCTGATTCGTTCAGGCACTCAATTTAAAGAATATCAGTAACTTTTTTGACAGAGGGATTTTATATTTGCCATGTTGGTAAAAAATAACGGTCAAAATTCAAAGTTATTCATTTTATAGACTATATATATTTCAAACAAAATTTATTTGAATTATATCATTATTAATACTGTTTCAGGAATCCCAATGAGCAACCTGAAGGTGACCATAATAGACAAGACAGGGCAAGATTCAAAAATATAGACTGGACAGCATACGAAGCAGTGCACAAAAGATATTTAAATTTAGGTGAGTTGTTAGATAGATATCGAATCAATAGATTTTTGAGATGGCCATTGGCTGTTCCACTTTTCCCTTCTAATATATCGTGGTCCTCTTATGATCTTGTAGCGTTTTTTATAAAACATTACCACTGCGAACGGCAGCTTTTCATTGGAGAGCAGTCGTGGATAAGGTATTTCACTGGAGAGAAAACTAATCAATAATAATAAACAAAAAAATATAGATATTGGGCGCCAGGCATGTACAGAGAAAGAAAACACAGTTGTATATTACTTAAAACTAATGGCTATATTTATTCATGCTGAATTTTGATGGTAAATAGCATTGTACAATTTTAATAATTATTATAGTGGTTAAATACTATTTCAAGGCGTAATGTAATGAAACTTAAAATCTAAATCATATTGTAACTACTAAATCGACATAAATGTTCTTAATAATCTAACCACTAAATATAGTCTGTACGATATTATTTAAAATGTACGTTATTAAGTTAAGACTGAAAATCGACTGAAAATCTGAACCTAAATCTACACTTAGCTGTTCTTGAGGCAATCCTGTTTCGAAGAGTAGCAGCGTGAGGTGGGCTCATATCTCTGTACTGTCTGTCGGCGATCCTGTTGGCCAAAACAACAAAAGAGCCAGAATGAGGACACCATGAATCACTACAGCCGTAGCTACTGACTAGGCTTAGAAATAGGAGCGAAGCAGCATGGGGCTTACGCTGTATCCATACTGTGGCAATATGGGGACACTATCCGTACCTTGGAACAGTACTAGGACCTTGGATAATGTCCGTAACTTGGACCATAACCTTGGACACAGTCCGTCCATAAGACCCTCGAATTACTTCCGAGGGCTCAATAATAAACAAAGAAACTGTCCTTTCTTCCAATTATAACATTCTGGAGGACAAAAGCAAAAGAACACCAATGTGCCAGCAAAATACAAATACGAGTTAAGGTGGGTCAATCCAAAACTCTACCCTGTTGCTTCGAAATGGCAGCTGATTCAGATTTTGCAGCCAGATTTAAATTATTACCATTTCTAAAAGCCGGGTGAATAAAAGTGAGGTTAAGCGCGGAGAGCCGCCTTGACATATAACAAGGATCTTGACAGCGCGCGCCTCCACAGAACAGTGAAACGATAGCAGGGTTGGCGACTAGGGAACGTAAAAATTACGCCAAGCGTGCCAAATAAATTATCAGGCCTGAACGATACGGAATCTGGTGATGATAGGCCAGACATCATATATTATATATAAAAAAAACATGTAACGAACTAAAAACGTTACAATCTCTAGGTAACATTCTCCAGTCCTATCCTTTCAAAATAGTCTAGCAAGTTGGAAACTGAACTAGTTTATTCAAGAAAATTTCCTACAAAGCATTTGAAAAAGTTTCTAAATATACTCCATCATGTAGATAAACTTAAATATTTTCATTTTAAACATGCTCAAAGCTTCACCTCAAATATTTTAATTAAATTCCAGTGTTTACACACCTCTACCCTTAAATAAATTATGCTTATATACGTTAACTCGATTTATTTAAGCATTAAGTGGTTAAATAACCTCAAGGCGGTATATAATCTTGTTAACGTCGCTCTCACTTTTCCTTCACTTGCGTGTTTGGATAAAATGTATAAGAAAATACGCCAATTTCAACGTAATTAAAAACATTAAGTGTTAATTTGGATATAAGTGTAGCTATACACGTAATCCGTACTCGAACGATATATCTCGACAATATTTACAGAAATATTATTTCCCATCAAAAACACAGAATGTAAAAAATGCCAACTCTGGCAATTCTTCCACTATAAAAAGTTATGAAATCTTATGTAAAACCGAGGCCAGTTTATTTTATTTAGTTTCTATTTAAGCATCTATTCAACAATTTTGTTATAAATTCATGTTAGTATCAGTATTAGATATCAAGGTTAGATGCAAACTGGTAATAGAAAACAAAATTATTGAGCAGGTATCACAGTTAAGATACCTAGGAATAGATATGTCGTACTATCATGATCCAGAGAAAGATCTGAGAAGCCAAATAAACATAGCAACGGCCATGTCAGGATGTCTGATTCAAATAGTGTGGACAAACCCCTTCATGCGAACAGACAGTAAAATTAAAATTTATAAGACCTGTATCAGACCAATAATTGCATATGGCATAGAAATCCGAGAGGAAACAAACAAAACCAAAAGCATGTTAAGAGGCGCTGAAATGAAGAACCTAAGAACCATAATGACGAAGACTAAAAGAGACAGAATTAGAAACACAAATATCAGACAACAATGTGGAATACAGGACGTAGTAAAGTGGGCTAGGCAAAGAAAAATAAAATGGTTCGCACACGTAAAACGCATGGAGGAAAATTGGCTACCACGCATAGCTCCTGAAGGGAAACCTGGGTAATATGGGTAAAAGACAGCCCTGAAGACCTCCAAAAAGATTGGAAATTGGAAAAACAGTTGGCAGTCCATCTCTCAAGAACTCCTACGGAGGAAACCTTAAAACTAACAGATCGACTAGATCTCAAATAAGTACAAGCAATAGTAGGATAAAGGGCAACGGCCCAGCTACATCGAAACACCGGTTCCCATTAAAACACCGAAGTTAAGTGACGTAACACGATACTAGTGGATGGACGGGTGACCGGTTCGAAAATATCTGTATCGTGCTGTTGTCCAAAAAAAGGCAAAAGGGTAAATAATCTCTTGACGCACACTGCTCATTCACACCGGTTCGAGGCCGGATGAGATCGGATATCTCATGAGTAAGAGTCGATTTAGACACTGACCAAGTCGGTAGACTGAAGACCGCAGTTCGGATTCCACGTAAACAAAGTAGGCCCCATCCAAATTAGCCCTGGCAGCAAAAAGGAAACGTTAACTGAAATCTTTACTTTAATAGTAGGATAATAGGTAGCACAATCTAGTAAGATATAGGTAAACAAAGTAGGCCCCATCCAAATTAGCCCTGGCAGCAAAAAGGAAACGTTAACTGAAATCTTTACTTTAATAGTAGGATAATAGGTAGCACAATCTAGTAGGATATGATTTACTGTCTCTGATATTTTAAGTTTGAATATCTTTGACACTTCTTTCTCTTTAAAAACACTATAATTTTATATATTTTAAGTGTATGATTGTAGATTGTAGGGGAGAGGAAAAGTTAATCAACGCGACCGTACAAATCTATTGTATCCCCGTTTCTTGAGTTATAACTCATCATACAGTCTCAGGGCTTTGACAAAAACTAGTATCTAAGCCGGTTTTACAGAGATTGATTCTCCTTCTCCGATTATAGCGCGAATGGTTGTCGTCTCGGTGACAAGGATGAGGTTTTCTGATTTTTACCCATTTTCTCCACAGATTCTGCGTTCGCCGTTGTTTCTTATCTTACTGAGGTGTTCAGTGAGGAGACAGTGTCCTGTTATAAACCACGTAACAATCCGAAAAGTGTTCTTACATATATCAAGGAAAATGTTCGATATTTCTCGTAAGTCCTGAGAAATTTCTTTGACCGTTGGAGGATTCCTATTCCAGGTTACGGATGGAATCTTCCAAGCTACTGAGATTTGCTTTAAGGTGGTTTCCAACGAATCAGAATGATTCTGATCCAGTTAATTCATATTCGCTCCTTTTCTACCTAGGTCATTTGCTTTTTCATTACCTTCTATTCTTTCGTGGGCTGGCACCCACATAAAAGGACTTTATTTCTTTGTCTAATTTGTTCAGCTGCCTGGTCCTTTCAGCTTAGACAAAAGTCTGGAAGAGTCCGATTCAATAATATTGAGATACAAAACAACTACTAGATAATATTAGCTGTATAAACCAAAAAATAGTTTGTAAAATTCCACTCTAATTCAATTCGTTTCGACCGGGAAAGCTCAATAAATATCCTCAAGGCCGGTATAACTTCGTTAGACGTCATCCTCGCTCCTCTAAGCGCTTTGTTTTCGGTGAAAAATCTCCGACGACTGGCCTGCAACCGGCCGAGATTCGAATACCGAAACCGAATCGAAATTTATGTAACTGGCTCCGGCGTTGTTTTTTTACGCCCGATGCAGGAACGGACTACTTTATTGCAAGCGAAACAAAGGAATTCGCATCGAATCTATCGGCATATCGGACTACCACCGCCAATCAGTGTATTTGCCTTTTGTTTAGTTTCGGGTTTTTTTGGGAACGGAACACGATACATTTTTTCGGAATTGCATGTTGCATTGCTTTTTTTCAACAGTATCGCATTTTTGATTTTTATTTTTTTTTAATTGGGATTTATTAGTAACTTAGTTACTCTACCTGAATTTCAATTCTTTTATGTATTACTGTTTTGTAGAATTTTGCGAATCCGAGAAGTACATTTGCTCATATTCATTGTTCTCCACATTTGCACAATCTAGGAGGATCTGATTTCGTGTTTCTAATATTTTAAGTTTGAATATCTTTAACATTTTTTTTTTCTAATTTTATATATTTTAAATGTATGATTGTAGATTTTATGGGGGAGGAAAAGTTAATAACTGTGACCTTATAAATCTATTGCGTCTCCCTTTCTTGAGTTATAACTCATCATACAGTCTCAGGGCTTTGACAAAAACTAGTATCTAAGCCGGATTTACAGATATTGATTCTCCTTCTCCGATATTAGTCGTACTAAAGTTTATAGCACGAATGGTTGTCGCCTTAGCGAACTCAGTGATGAGGTATTCTGGTTTTTACCCATTTTCCTCATAGAATCTGCATTCGCCGTTGTTTCTTAGCTTCAATCTACTGAGGTGGTCATTGAGGAGACAGTGTCCTGTTAAAACCCCTGTAACAAGCCGAAGATTGTTCTTACTTAAATCAAGGAAAATCTTTAATTTTTCTCGGTCATAAGTCCTGAGAAATTTTTCGACTGTTTTAGACCGTTGGCGGATTCCCATTTTAGGTTACGGATGGAATCTTCCAAGTTACTGAGACCTGCTTTAAGTTGGTTACCAACGAAGCGGGA